GCCAACGATGCCTGACTCAGCACCAGAGGAATACAAGAAACTTGCCGAACAGTGTTGTGACGCTGATCCCGATAAGCGTCCGATTGCGTTTAGACTTTGGGCTGATATTCCCCACCTTACAAGAAAAGATGATGCCCGAAATGGACGAGAACCTGCACAAAAAAGAAGGAAGACGTAATCGTGATATGACAGTATAACATTAATGATCTTACATTGCGATTTAATAAAAGCAACTTTGACCAACCTCCTATATTGTGGTATCACGTGGTGAGAAGGAGAGTAGTACATGCATGATGACCTGTTTTATTGAGGTTAGTAGCTAATCTTTATTCTAAAGCTTTGCTTACTATTTAATATTAAGCGTATGGGAGGTAAGTATGTGTCCTTGTCAAATCAAAGATAATCCCCCTGAGGAAGAAGTTCATTTGGCCGCACTTCGCACACGCGTGATAACGTGCCTGCCTACCCAGATAACACAATCGAATGGAATCCATTCCAAATAGGCATCATTTGGTGAGTCTTTTTGTGATTAAATCAAGAAACGTAATAGCATTTTATATTAATCATGGGGATTAAAGACTATTTACTCGATTTTAAATGGGCTTTAAACAAATTCTACTTGTTGAAGATGACATCCACATGAAAGACTTTTTCTTTGGTTTCACGATTAGCACAAATTCTAAGCAAAGGGCCTGGAACACAATTGTTTAGCTCCTATTACTATGCAAATTCGAAATCCTTTGAACGAACGTCTTTTGTCTGCTCACTGCTAGGAGTCAAAGTGGTATTGTCTATGATGGACAGGATATTTACTCTATGAGTTAGCCAAGGTTGGAATGGGAACGGGTAGCCGGCAATGTTCTACCCATGTACACATTACTCTGTTTCCAACGCTCGAGTTACAAAGTCGTTACCCAGCTGCAACATCCCCAGAATTCCCTCTTTTCCTGTTTTTATTTTCCACTCTCCATCGTTGCTCTACAGCTCCTGCTTCACTCGGTATCGAAATCTGCCTCCAGCTCTGCTTCTACCTTTTCTAGTAGCTCAGTTCGCATCGTTGCATTGCCGCTTATCTTGACTTGAACTCGTAACAAAAATTAAAATCAATTAAAAAGTGGCGACTGTTATTACTATTACCAGTCAAGCAAGACAATTTTTGCTTGTACGAGTTAGTCACGCGGTGATCTACTACTGTTTACGGTCCCGTGTTACCATGATCATTCACCAAAAATTATTAAAGCGGAGAATTTTGGGATACGAAGCTTGACAAAAAATGTCAGAAAGCAAAGCAACCACCGATTTTGACGACGAGGACGAATATCTCTACGGCACCGAAGAACCTGCCCCTCCGCAACCGGATGCCAAAGAAAATATCTTAATTGAGAAAGAGACCGATAATGACATATATGGATCCGAATTCAAAGACGAAAATAATTTGAATCAAATCGATCAGGTTGAAGACATAATACCTCTGGGAGATAAGCTGCCCAGTAGTGCAGAGAAACTTCCACAGGTGGAACTGACCGATGAAATAGAAGAGACGAAGGGAGCACTTTTATTGAATGCAGGCGGTTATAGAGAAGAACAGGCAGAATCAGCGGACGAAGATGAACAGAAAACAAGTATTGAAGAGGATAAAGAGGACGCTGAGGACGCTGAGGAGGAAGAGGAGGAAGAAGATGAAGATAGTGATTCTGTAAATAAACGTTTTTATAGAATTAAAGGGCTGATTCAGTGTACAAATTTCTGGATTCTTGTGTTTGAGACTACTTCTTTTTTATTTGGACAGGACATAGAGATTATTATGAATTCAACGCCAACGAAATCTATGGATAATAGTAATAGGTACCATCTAATTCTAATAAAGAAAGCAAGAATTTTAACAATGAATCCATGTTCGTGAGCTGTCCTTGTGCACTTTCTAATGATACATAAATTTTTCTTGCAACGTGACTTTTCGTCTAGACCAAACGCGCTTGTCAATATTAAACCTAATCAACTTAATAAAGGGGTCGGAAATCAGAGACACGGTGAGAACAACGTATGCAGTGATGAACGGTACGGTATCGCCACCAAACAGTCTTGTCGATCTAACAGCATATGCCTTTTTTTTTTTCTAGACGGTGGTCAACAAACAGGAGCGAATCGGACGCCCGGAATAGACCTCAATGCTGTTGGAACGATCGATGGGACTAGTGTCTATGACGTCGATCTGGATTCGTTTGAAGATAAACCGTGGCGCAAGCCTGGTATGTGGAAGTATAGAATGATTTTATTGGTGTAAACATTGATAACTAATGAAAACGATGGGTTGATTTGTTTGTTGGTTGGTTGGTTGGTTGGTTGTTATTTTCAGGTGCTGATATCACGGATTATTTTAATTATGGATTTAATGAACATACATGGCGAGCATACTGTGCAAAACAGAAACAGATGCGCGAAGAACAGCATTTACGAAAAAGAATCAATGTAAGGCCATTGTTGTTAGCTTTGCTGAAAGCTCAACATGAGAGTTGTGCTTTTTTCTTTTTTCTTTTTTTTTTTTCTTTTATTTCTTTTTTTTTTCGCGGTCATATGAGTGTATGCTGTGATTGTCTTTTCTTTAAAAAAGGTCTATGAATCTAAACCAGACATACCGGATCTACCACCCGAGCTACAATCGATAAGCCAACCCTCGCATGGTGGCGATCACTCGCGATTCTCATCACAACGTCGAGGTGAGTTTCAATTCAATTTTATGTAATGGGGCAGGTTCTATCCTTTACTAGGGTTCTTCCTAATTTTCCTTACCAGGCCGACGGAATCGAGATCAAGATGATTCAGTTATTCAAGTGGTATCGAGCGAGAGAGAAGCTGCGCTTGAAGAGATGGAACCAATGTGAGACCTTTAAACAGAAACTGTCATTACCTAGCTAGATTCGGAATTTCTAACGATGGATTTTAATGTATGCCTCACACAGACCACCGCCAAACTTGGAAGGATCACAGACGGATGAATACACGATAGAAGATAACGATTTCCCACAAAACTTTGCAGGTCAGGAAAATTATAGACATCTACAAAAACAATGGTTCCTCATCCACCAGACACTTTACCTTTCCTCCATTTGCATTCCCCTACCACGCCCA